AATAAAAGTGGTGAGGAATTTGAAAAAGAAAATCATCTCCTGTGATAGAACTCATCATCACATTGATTAGACTTTTTTTTTCACTTATAACATGTTTGCTTTAAAAGGAATAGAAAGGATAATTTTTTGACCAATTAGATTATAATACATTATGATTTAATTGATAAAAAAAAAAAAAAATTCTCTTCTTGCTTCTCTTTCCGTCAAACCAAACATACTAACTGCCTAACACGTGAGAGTACTAGGAAAATACTAATTTAGCAAAAGCTAGAACCTAGATTAGTACAATAATTCACATGGATAGGTCACCTTATCATAGCATCATACTATAAAAAGAAATACATACGGATGGCAGTATCTTATACAACTAGCTTAACAAACATAACAATATAGAATTCAGAGCACAAAACAGGATTCAGAATCCATACATTCAATCATCCCGTAAAACCATTTTCATGCACAAAGATATGGTATGAGACCCTACTATATAATAACATAAATAAAAATGCATCAGATCACGCAGATTGATCACCCCAATTGCACGGTCCAGATTTTCCCCCAAAAGGCACTGATCTAAAGACCATCATAGTACCCTCCAAATCTTATGTGAGCTCTGGTAATTGGAACCCCTCTAACTGCAGAAATTGCTTCATTCAGTTTGGTTGCATGATGAACCACTTGCTTGATCCGCTGAAAACATAGAAATAGAGAAGAAGACACAAAATATAAGTGATTCCAACCAAAATTTAAGTGATTCGGCTATTTGGCCTTACATCTACGCATAAAGAAGAACCAGTTGCTTAATTACATAAAAATTCAGTTTGGTTGTGTGATGAACCACTTGCTTGATCTGCTGAAGACATAGAAATAGAGACGAAGACAAATTTTAAGTGATTTGGCACAAAAGTGATTCGGCTATGTGGCCTTACATCTACGCATAAAGGGGAGGAAATTAACAATTTTATAATCACTCAAGTTCTAACAAAATCTCCTAATAACCCAGTATTATAAACACACAGTGAAGAAATAAACATTAGCTGCAGCTGAAATAGGTTTAGCGTTTTGTTTTTTGGCCAGAAACAGATTAAATAGGTTTAAATAAATAGGAAAGTGAATATCAGGATGTCAAACAATTAAAATATCAAGAGTAGTTGAAATTGTTCAAATACCCATAATAAATCTTACTTACATGTTAATTCATAAAAGGTATTTGAGTTTTTTCACTATCTCCTTAGCATCTTAGTTACTAGGACATCCTGATTTTCTAGAATCCCTTAATCAGATAAGGTAAGAAATCCAGCCTGAGCTCTCAGCTTCCACCACAGATCTCATGAAAAAAATCTTATTCTAATAGAAAGCTACTGGATTACAAATCAGGTCAAATATGAAACTTTCAATGCATAATCAACAATATGAAGTTACCTGAGCTATAACAATCCCTTCAGACTGGGGCAAAAGTTATCTCATTCCAGATCTTTCTATTACATAATAAGTTCTCAAATTTGCAATAAAATATGTATCATTTTCAATTGGTGTTTTTATTGGAAGATGAGAATATTGGGGACAGAAATATCAATTTCTGATGTTCACATCAAAGTTGTCTAATTTTAATAACACTTTCATCACAAGGATTCCCAGTACAGAAAAGTCATCAAAACTCTATTCCAATTTTACTGTTTTCTTTCACTTTTACTAGTTTAATCAAAGATTCAAGAACCATTTTTCATAGAAGGAATTTATGCAGATTACCAACAAGATTATGTATAACAAAAATGGGAAAATGGGTATGTGGAAAGTTGTTGTTATTCCATACCTTGTCATCAGTGTAAATCTGAAATCTCAGCTTCTGGTTCTGTTGAGGTCTGTTTCTCTGTTGGCTTCCTAATACGATGATGCAGACTGTAGCAGCAGCAACACCGAAAGAGCAGATAGCTCCAATCCCATTGAGGCTCCATTTCCACAGATTGAAACCACAAGAACTCTCATCCCAAATCGCCTCCTCTCCGCTCTCACTTCTCTTTCTTGGAGAATTAATATTCTTCTCCAGAGCCTCACCACTCTTATCCTCAAAATTAAAGGCACCTGCATCAATCTGGGGCAAAATACCCCTCGAACTGGACTTGGGTGAGTCCATTTTCATGTCGACGAATTCATTGATGTTAGTTTTCTTGAAGAAAACTTGCGAGACTGCATCTGGGTCAGTCTCAATGGATCCAACAACATCAGGAGGATCCTTGATCTTCTTAGGAATCTCAGGCGGTGGCACCAGGGTAACATCAATTGGCAACTTGTTGATTCCTTTCACAGGCACATCCATATCATCATCATCTGTGGCCTTGTACACTCTTGGCTCCAATTGAAATGGAACTGGCACAAGCTGGTTAGGCAAAGCCCTAGAATTCCCAGATGATTTTGGGGACTCAATGTTGAAGTAATTCATGTTGAACACACTTCCTGAATCAGAATTCCTTTTCCCCACAAAAATCTTTCTCTGCCCATCATCATGTAGGTGATCAAGATCAAGAAACCCATCATTTGGGAGGAATTCCCATCCATCGATATCCATTTCCTGACTCATACCTCCTGGAAAAAGCAAACATATATCTGACAGAAAATTGAAGAAATTGTTGCAAGAACTGAATAGGGGGAAGGGGTTTGAATTATTGGGTATAAAAAATGATAGGCTACTTATGAGTTGATTGCAAGAAATTTCAACTGACGGAAGAGCAAGAGACAAAGGCCACCACCATTCATGCTGCCATCTTGTATCTTTGACTACAGATTTTGAATGGTTATGCCAACAAGTAAAAGTGTTACAATCATACAAATGTTGTTATTTTTCATACACCCTTAGTTATTATATTGAGAAATATTAATTTATAAATTGATTTTAATTTATTAATTAATAAATATTAATAATTTTATTATTTATGAACCTGATCAAGTGGCTTTAATCATAAGGTTCATTCTTCCTTTCTCCAAGAGTAACATTCGAATTAATCCATGATAAAATGTTCAAAAAAAAAGTTATTTTATTATTTATGAATTAATAATTATAATTATAAGAGATTGAGAAAAGATAAGATTTTTAATAATTAAAATATCATAAATAATAATAATAAATTAAATATTTTTAATAAATTAATATATAAAAAATTTAATTCAAGATATTTAAATAATTTTATAAAAAACCTTAATATTAAAGTATCAAAATATCTTAATTTTTATTTTTATCAAATTAAAATTATTAATTATTTCAAACTATTGAAATAAACTAAATTAGTACTATTTTAACAGATAATATATAATAAAAATTTGTGACTCTAACACTGTTATACGTATCCGTAGCCATTGCCTATCTACCAACAATGGAAAATCAGAAAAGCTACTACCATACAATATCTTGTAAGCATGATATAACAATAATGGTTCATTTATAAGGGGATGTGAGAAATTAAGATGGCTTGATACTTAAGATATTTATCATAATTGTTGATTTTGTGGACCTTAATCAAGAATCTATTTATTTGTTGATTGTGATAGTATATTTTAACGTTAGCATGTTTTGTTTTTCATATTTTTTCACTTATAATATTATAAATTTATAATATTAACATCATATAAAATATTATAATATAATATCATGTAATGCCTAATATAATATAATGTTGCATTGTGACTGCTGAAAATTTGACAGGGATTTTTTTTTTTTTTAAATAGGAATTGACAGGGATTTTGAGTGCTCGTACTGCAGGGAGGGTGTTCCTGCAGGTCCCACCTAAATAAGAATGACTTCATTGGTGGACTTCCTTTTTTTTTAGATATTTCTTTTGAATTCTTTATTTAGAGTTATATATATATATATATATATTTTTAACATATTCATAAAAAGTTGGATTTAAATTATTGTCTTAAAAAAAAAATACACTTATATGTGAATTGATGTTATTGGACTAAAGACCCAAGTGCTAGGAGTTATAAGTTTTGAACCTTTATTTGGGCACTAAAGTCACTAGAATACAAAATGAATTAACCTACACAATTAAACTTGAATTTTATTTAGAGTTTATTTGATTTGAGAATGGCAGGAAAGAGGGAAAATTTTTCTATTTGAATAAAAAAAAATTAGAGGGAACGGGAGAGGAAGGGAGCATTCCTTTATTTTGGTTTAAATTCTTTCGTATTTTATTATATCCAAATAAGAATTCTCCCCTTTACATTCCATCCATTTCTCTTAAACTAAATAAATTTACAATTGAAAAAAAAAAAAGAAGAGCATTTTGATAGTGTCACAACTCAAACTACACATTTTTGTGCAATCCAAACTCAAAAATACACCTTTGTTTCTTTAATGGGTTCTTACTTTCCTTTTCAACAATTTAAAACTATATATTACCACTACTAAAATTTTTGGTTTCAGCAACTAAACATCAGCAACATGAAATTGCTTGTCGTGATATGAATTTTCACCAATAAAACCCATATTGCTGATACTTAAATAGTACACATTTTAACAAAAAGTGTTCTTTACTTTTAGCAACATGATTTTTGTTACTAAAAATGAATTTTAGCCATAAGGATCATGTTGCTGGAAATTTTATGTTACTGTTCATGACCGGATTTTCCACCAATTTCATTAATTGATTAGCAAAAAGTGTTCTTTACTTTTAGCAACATGGTTCTTGTTGCTGAAAATAGTTTTTAGCAACAAGAACCATGTTGCTGAAATTTTTTTGTTACTGTTTATGACCGGATTTTGCACCAATTTCATAAATTAATTAACAAAAAGTGGTATTTATTTTTAGCAACATGATTCTTGTTGCTGAAACTTTTTGGTTACTGTTCATGACCGGATTTTGCACCAATTTCATAAATGAAGTAGCAAAAAGTGGTATTTACTTTTAGCAACATAATTATTGTTGCTGAAATTTTTTTGTTACTATTTATGACCGGATTTTTGCACCAATTTCATAAATTAATTACCAAAAAGTGGTATTTATTTTTAGCAACATAATTCTTGTTGCTGAAATTTTTTTTGTACTGTTCATAACCGGATTTTGCACCAATTTCATAAATTAATTAGCAAAAAATGGTATTTACTTTTAACAACATGATTCTTGTTGCTGAAATTTTTTGGTTACTGTTCATGACCGGATTTTGCACCAATTTCATAAATGAATTAGCAAAAAGTGGTATTTACTTTTAGCAACATGATTCTTGTTGCTGAAATTTTTTTGTTACTGTTTATGATCGGATTTTTGCACCAATTTCATAAATTAATTACCAAAAAGTGGTATTTATTTTTAGCAACATGATTCTTGTTGCTGAAATTTTTTTTGTACTGTTCATGATCGGATTTTGCACCAATTTCATAAATTAATTAGCAAAAAATGGTATTTACTTTTAGCAATATGATTCTTGTTGCTGAAATTTTTTGGTTACTGTTCATGATCGGATTTTGCACCAATTTCATAAATTAATTAGCAAAAAGTGGTATTTACTTTTAGCAACATGGTTCTTGTTGCTGAAAATGAATTTCAGCAACAA